GAAAAGTACCTGCTGGTCTGTTGTGCTAAGCAGTCAGTTTACTATCCACGTGTATTCCATGATATCACGTTGTAACCTTCATCTCTACTAATAATAATGCAGCTTATTTTTAAAGCAGTCAGGCGGGCCGGGCATATACCTCAGCGGCATAAGCGCCTGCCTGGCAAGCGCAAGGTCCTGAGTTCAATTTCCAGTACCAAAAAAACAAAGCAGTCAGAATTTTACTTTAGAGTAGTATGTGTTGTATACTATGTATGTATATGTTTGGCTCTATAATTTTAAATCTAATGAATTTAAAGTCAATTTACAATTTAATGAATATAAAGTAAATTTCTACTTTAGTTAAGGGGTACTTTTTGGCTTTTTTTTTTTTTTGCAATTCTGGGCCTCGAGTCAAGGGCCTCATGCATGTTAAGCAAGCACTGTACTGCTGAGCCTCATCCCCAGCTCTTTGTAAATTTTATTTTGATACAGAGTCTCCCTTAATTCCCTTATCGGACCTCAATGTTTCAATCCTCCTGCCTCAGCCTCCTGAGTAGCTGGGATTAAAGGTATGTGCCCACACTCAGTTTAAGTACAATTTTATAAACTTAAAACTTAACTAGGATTAAAACAATTAGGAAGAAAGTCACCTTGCCACTTCTAATGATGCAAAAAATCAAAATCCTTTATTTTCTTTTAAAAGATTACCTTAGTAAATTTTAAACCTAGTTCAGGAGTATTTGTATTTAAGGAGTATCGTGTAAAGACAATTAGTACTTCAGGGCTTCCGTTTTATAGTTTATACAGTCAGTAAGATAAAAATCAATTGGAAAAGTGAAGGTATTAAATAATTTTGCAGAATAAGTGGGCAGCATCAATTTGCATTACAAAGGAAAAAAGCCCTAAAATTTTATGTCAGTATTTTTGCAGTGCTCTTGATGTGAAACTGTGAAACAGTGTCTTCCATGGTGTATCTTAAGGACCAAACTAGCACAGGTTCTCTCTTATGATAGACTTTTCAATACTCTGGAACATTTGGTTCCAGTAATTTGTGACATAAGCTCTTGCTATGTTGCCCAGGCTGGCCCTGAACTCCTGCCTCAGCCCCTGAGTAGCTGGGACCACAGGGACACACAACTGCCCTGCCTTGGTTCTGGAAAATATCCTTTATCTCAGTAGTATTACTACTGATGTTACATTCAGATTATTCTTTTTCATCCTTGTCCTTAAAATTGTCTTCCCATGCCACAGAACAGCAAGGCATAGATTGTTAGAATGGGCTCCATCTTTACTGTTACAATTATTGCGTGCTTGGGGGCTGGGGATTTAGCTCAGCAGCACAGCGCCTGCCTGGCAAGCGCAAGGTCATGAGTTCGATTCCCGGTACTAGAAAAAAAAAACAAAAACAAAACAAAACAATTATTGTGTGCTTATATACCAATTTGTACTGAGCATCTTTCCTTTTTATTTTATTGGTACATTTTAGGTATACATAGTAATGACATTCATCATAGGGAATGTATACCCGTACAAGATACAACTTGCTTCTTTTTTTTCCCATTCCCCTTCCCTCCCTTCAACCCCTCTTTCCTTCTTTATTTGCAAAAACTGTTTCCATTTTTTCCTTTTATTCTTTTTTTTTCTTTTCCCTTCTTTCCTTCCACCATTCCCTTGTTTCCCTTCTCATTTGTACTAAGTGTTTTACGAATATTATTTCACCTAATCTTTAAAATGATCCTGGGAGCCAGGCGGGGTGGTGCATGCCTGTTATCCCAGCACTCAGGAGGCTGAGGCAGGAGGATCACCACAAGTTTGAGGCCAGCCTGGGCTACATAGTGAGCTGAAAGCCAGCCTGAAGTACACAGTGAGACACTGACTCAAAAATTAATTAATTAATGCAATTTAATTTAATGATCCTATTTTTAGTCTCATAGGTAGGGAAACTGAGGTATATGAAAGTCTCTTACTGTTTTCCCATAGTAAGGTGGTACCTCGGTTTACAAACTTAATTTGCTTTACGATTTTGGGGCAGATGGCTGTGGTTGTTTGTCACCCAATGCAAAGTTTGCAAATACCAGCGAAATCTTACCAGACGCTTTTGATTGCAAATGGAAGGGTTTGTGAACCAAGGTATTACTGTGTATGTGTTAGCTTTTCATTGCAGTAACAAATACTTGAAGCCACTACTTTATAAAGAGAAAGGACTTATTTAGCTCACAGTTTTGGAGGCTGAAGACCAAACAACATGGCACAGGCTCTGGCTGCCCCACATCACAATGGGAGTACCATGTATCTCTAGGGCTGGTCGTGCTTTCGTGATGGAGCTACCGGGATTCAATGATGGAGGCCCCACCCTGAAGACCTAACCTGATCACTTCCCAAAGGCCTCACCTCCACCCACCATAACCTCATTCAGCCCCCCTCTTAATCCATGGACATCAGACTTTAGGGATTAAACTCCTCCATGAATTCAGGGAACAAACCATATTCAGACCGAAGCATTTTGCTTCTGGGCCTTATTCACTCTTAAAACTCATGTCCTTCTCATATACAACAGGTAGTAATTCCATCCAGATGACCCCAGAGTCTTAACCCATTCCAGCATCCACTCAAAAATAGAGGCTCATCTGAGACTCAAGGCAAACTTCTCGCAGCCGTGAGCGTATAAAACAGAAACAAGATTCATATTTCCAAGATACAACGGTATAGGACCGGGGATATAGCTCAATGGCACAAGTGCCTGCCTGGCAAGCACAAGGTCCTGAGTTGGATTCCCAGTACCAAAAAAAAAAGAAACCAAGATACAGCAGTGGGACTGGCGTAGGGTAAACATTCCCATCCCAGAAGGAAGAATAGGCAGGCAGAAAGGAGTAATCAGCCCAAAGCAAGACCAGAACCTAGCAGGACAAACACGAAATCCCCAGGTTCCGAGCCTGGCATCCCGTCCACAGCGGGCAGGGTGGAGCCCCCCGAGGCTGTGGGCAGCCTCACTCCTGTGGGGCTTCCCTGGACTCAGCTTGTGCGTCACTCCTCACCCTTTCGAGTCTGCAGCTCTTCCGGACTGGCTGTCTCACACTGGTAACTCAGTTGTGAGGTCTCAGGGCAGCCCTCCCCCTGCAGCTCTGCTAGGCAGTGCGCTGGTGGGGCCCCTCCGACCCCACACTTCTGCTCAGCATTGCCCTGGCAGAGGCTCTCTGTGGTGGCTCCTTCCGGCCCAAAGATCTCTGCCCGGACCCCCGGGCTGATGGGGACATCCAGCGGCTGAAAGGTGACGGTTCCAGCTCCCAGGGCTTGTGTAGCGCACTGCTGCAGCTTTCGTAGGAGGATGTCAACAATGCTGCTCTAGCCAGTCCCTGAGATGCGCTGGAGCCATCTTTCCTGTTGTCCTGAGAGGCACACACCTTCTATTCATCTGCTCTAAAGCAAGCAGCTGCCCTTATGAATCCTTCTTGGTCTCACCCCTTACCTGCCTTTTCTCTCCTTCCCTGGCCAGGCTGCAAATTTTCCAAATCTTTCCCTTCTGCTTTCTTTTTAATTGTAAGCTTTATCTTCACCCATTCCTTTGCACTCACACTTGACTGTAAGCAATTAAAACTAGCCGCGCTGCAGCCTCGGTGCTTTGCGGCTTTGAAATCTTCACAGGTAAGTAAGCGAGTCCATCGCTTTTAAATTCAGCCTTCCTGGGAGTCTCAGGACAAGGACACAAGGAAGCCAGACTCATTGCCGCCACCACGTAACAGTGATGGCCTTACTCCAGTTCCCAAGAGAACGCGCATTTCCACCAGAACCCTCATCAGCATGGACTTCGCGGTCTGTCGCTGTCAGCATTCCGGTCTCCTGAGACCTCACCAGGACTTCAGGCAGTGTTCTTCTCACAGCACTGCGCGCTTTCCCTGGCCTCCTCCTCCAAGCCCTTTCGACCTCTTCCTGTTAACCAGTTCACCTTCGCAGTACCGCTTTTCTTCATAAAGATAAAGGGATTATTTAGCTCAGGTTCTGGTACATCACATCACAATGGCATCACACATCTACCTCTATGTCTGGTCTCACTTTCGATATAAAATTACCAGTATTCAGTCATGAAAGCTCCTCCCTACAGACCTAATCTGGCTGGGAGTGGCGCTGCATGCCCGTAATCCCAGAACTCAGGAGGCTGAGGCAGGAGGATCACAGTGAGTTTGAAGCCAGCCTATACTACAGTGTGAGACCCTGTCTCAAAAAAACCTATTCTGACCACTTCCCAAAGGCCCCACCTCTAGGCACCATAGTCTGTTTCAGGGCTCCGTCTTCATCCATGAACATAAGACTTTGGGGATTAAACTCCTCCATGAGTTCGAGAAAAATCATATTTAAATCATAGCAGTTCACAGTCATACCCGCCTCTGTGCCTTGCCTGCCGTGGTTTCTGTTACCCAGAGTCAGTTGTGGCCTGACATTATTAAAGAGAAATTTCCAAAAATAAGTCATTTGTAAATATTAAATAGGTTTTGTTCTAGTATAGTTGTAAATTCTATTTTGTTATTACTAATCTCTTACTGTATATAATTGTGTATTAAATTTTATCACAAGTTGTGATGTATAAGAAAAAACATAGCGTGTGCAGTGCTCAGTGCCGGCTCTGATCTCAGTACCCACTCGGGGGTCTTAGAACGTACCCTCTGTGGATGGGGGACAGTGGTGCCGCAGTGCTGCCCCTGAACCCAGATCTACCCTCCCTCCTCTTGAGCCTGTTCCCTGGTGCATTCTAGCTCTGTGGTTTTGCCCTTTCTAGTTACACAGAAAACATTTTCAGTGAAGCCTTCGTTTTTTCTATAAGGAAGATATTCCTGCTTTTCCTGTGTAAAGTTACTTCGCGCATACCCGCATCCTTTCCGCCTACCACGTAGTACAGTATCGTCTGTCTTGTTTACTACCACAGTAAGCCTGTACTTAACCAGCCCCACATAATCAGACTTCTTTCACTGCAGGATGTAAGCCCGGCCTGCACCTAAATACCGTGTGTTTGTGTCCTGAAACAGCTGCTGAATATGTCCAGAGAACTGAGCGACCTGAAGAGAAACCTGAAGGAGGCCACGGCAGCCATCGCCGCGGACGCCCCTTACGCAGAGGGCGCGTGGTCCGAGCCCACCTTCACGTCCACCGAGGCAGCCATCCAGTCCATGCTGGAGTGCCTGAAGAACAACGAGCTCGGCACAGCCTTGCGGCAAATCAGGGAATGCAGGTCACTGTCCTGTTTCTTTTAGAGATGGTTGCGGGAAATGCACACACTGTGACTTTGTCACAGCTGGCGATGGATTCACCAGAGAAGTCATGTCTAGATATTTTACCTATCTCTTCTCAGGTCTTTACATGCAATGCCCATAGCACTTGGCTTTCAGATCTTACACATGGAAAGTACTGGGCTTGTGTCTGGTCATTTATCATCCTGAAAATGTTCAAGCACTTGAAAAGTAACCTCTGTATCATTTAAAGCTAACGTCCAAATGCACGCTGTCCGTTTCTCCCCTGCATCTCCACATGAACCAGAATGCTGCTACCAATGGGATAAATGTGTCAGATTCTGTTCTGATGTTTTCATGCTTAGGGTACTTTTATCAGACACGATAAAAGTCTAAAACTGAATGTAGTGATGTTTGTACAACTCTGAATACACAGAAACCCATGGGATTGCATACTTTAGGAGGGGCATGATGCGGTATGAGAGTGTCTCAGAAAAGCTTCCTTAGAGTAATAGTCTCAGCCCTAACAGACTCGTAACCTCCCAGCTCTGTGACCAGGAGTGCCTCTAATATGCGCTGTCTTTCTTGACTGCAGAAGTCTGTGGCCCAATGACATCTTTGGAAGCAGTTCTGACGATGAGGTCCAGACACTACTGAACATTTATTTCCGTCACCAAACGCTGGGACAGACAGGTACTTATGCACTGGTGGGATCTAACCAGAGTCTGACCGAAATCTGCACCAAGCTGATGGAGCTGAACATGGAAATCCGGGACATGATCCGCAGGGCGCAGAGTTACCGAGTCCTCACTGCGTTCCTCCCAGACTCCAGTGTTTCCGGCACTAGTCTCTGACAGGAGCCTCCCGTGCCCCCTGGCTTCCAAGCTGGGGGTGCTGCCGTGCTGGGGCAGTGTCATTCAGTGTCTTCTCAGCCTTCAGAAGGCTTGGACAGACTGTTCTCCCTCTTGTTACCTGCAGGACTTTTTCTAAAGAGGGTGACAGAGCTTCCAACGTGTAGCAATACTTTACGAACCAAGGCAGCAAAGGACATCCTGAGACAGACTCCCCGCATCACGCTGTGGGGCACAAACACGCTACCCACTTCCTGAGCAAATGCAACCCACTACTGGAGCACTGACTTCCATGGCATACCAAAGCGGCGACACTGAACAATTCCTTCCTCCCTAGAAGCAGTTTTAGAGTAGCAGAAGTGCGGTGTTTTCTTCACTTCCGAGATTTTTATATTCTACACCTTGTACATTTGTCCCCTTTCCTCCCCTCCCCCCTTGGTTCTGTTTTGTTTGTTTTGTTTTTGGTGAGATGAGAAAAGGACAGGCAGAATGAAGCTGGCCACTGAGAAACTGAACGACGGTCCAACGCTGACAGCCTGCGTGTCTCAAAGGGACTTGGGAATGGACTGCAATGTAATGGACACTGTTATTTGAATACAATTACTGTACCTAAAAGGAGCTGCTATGAAGTACTTTTCTTATGTTGCTAGGCTACTGTTTTTGAAGGCCTGGATCTCTTTGCACCAAAACTGATCCAGATAGACTCTTTTTAAGGATCTTGGCTGCTTTTTACTAGAAGGTTGCTTTTATGAACATATTTATACTACAGAAGGATAAATGTTAATTTTAATTAACTTTGCCATTTTATAGAGAAAATTTATTCACATAAATTCCAAGTCTTTTCACCTCTCACGCATGCATATGTTAACATCCATTCGGATAGGCAGAAATAGAATCATAAAGATATGAATTGTCACTTTGTTTCTGAAGAATAATGTATTTTATTTGTAATATATATGTAAAGGGCCATTCTTAAGTTTCCTCCGTAAACTTAATGCTGTCAAAGTGTTAGATGTGTGCATGTGAATCTGTTACACATCAGAGACGTTCAAAGTTTATCTACGTAACTTATTCACGCTGTATATACATTTAAAGTTTTGTGATGTAATCCTGACTGATACTCTGTTCAGAACTTTCTTTAGACAAAAAAAAAAAAAGCAAGGACAAAATACACGATGACCGTGGATTTTATTTCTGGTTAACGAGAATGTCTGTGGGCCGCCAGAGTGATAAGCCCAAGGGACACCATTCATCACACGGAGTCACCAAGCGGCCCCCACCGGGCCGTGCGGCACATGGCATCGAAGTCAGAGGAAGCAAAGTCACTTTGGAAGCAGAGCTTAAGAAACAAACCAAAAAAAACCTTCCACAAGTTCTCTCTGAAATCAATCAAAGAGAAAAATCAGAAAAGAAAGAGGGCTCTCACGGTCCATAACCTAGGTGACCATCCTTAAAATTTTGAAATATACTGTGTATTGAGCAGGAAAAAAGTAAGAAAACCTTCATTCTGTCACCAGTTACCCTACTAGAAAAAAACAGGGCCACAGATCCACACAGCAGTCTAACCTACAACATCTTCCTACTCGTATTTGACTTGGACTAGCAAATAGAACCTGTTTTACTAGCACGCCAGTACTGACTCATTAGTTGTTATTTCCTAAGAGTATCCTGCAGGAGGGAGTCCAGCCCAAAATTTTGTTGTTGTTGCCACTCTATTTTAACAACTTCCGGAACTGCTGGAAACATATTCTTTTGATAAGTTAACATTTTCAGCTAGAAGACAATTGGCTGTGGTTTATAGAAAATTGAATTATGATCACCCTGAAAAATACCTCCTACGATACAGGGCTCTGTCGGTAACCAGAGTGGCCACCCTAGAGAGTTTTGTTGGGAGCCGCCACGGAAAGGTCTGACTAGTCACAACGGAAAGGTCCGACTGGTCATGCCTGAGTTGGCTACTGTACCCTCTTATCCAGCAAAGAACCCCAGCACGCTTTACTCTTTCAAAGATAAAGGCCGTCAGCCACACGCTGAGTTCTGCCACGTTGGACTGTAATCATAGGAAGTAGGAGAGTTTGTCTTTTTAAAAAAATGTTATTTAGAAACAATAATTTGGGCAATGCAATTCCCATGTCGTTTCACCTTCTCTCCCTTGAGTGGAGTGGGGAGAATTTGTGTCAGAAAGGAGCGCCGCTCCAGCTGGGCCCAGCAGTGGTTGTGGAGCCTTGGGTCATATCACCTTGGCTGTGTGCTGTGCTCTGTTAGAGTATTTCCACTGCCTTCCCCAGGGCTACAGAGAGGTTGGGGTACTGAGGAGAAGGCGGGTCAGGGTGAGAGAAATGCCTTGTCCTGTCTCAGTGCTTTCTAGAGCCAAGACAAGATATACCTTGTATCCATTTGCATAAACAAGCAATCAAGCTAGGCCTTCTGTAACATAGGCATAACTTGGTTAAAATTACAGGCTCTAAATAGGGTGTTTTGGGAAAGCCACTCTGGATTTTTAGCGTCATATGGGTATCTTACTTCCACCCAGAGCTGAGAACATTAAGAAAATTATGTTAAAACAGCTTTGAAATAAAGATGCTTCTATCAGCATCACACACCCACATAGGCAGGTTTTAAGCTCCTGATTCCCAGGCTTAACAAACCTCTTCAGTGAATTATAGAATTCTAGAGAGAAGAAGCAGGCCTCCAGCTGCTTACATATCTATAGTTTCCACCTGCTTCCAAATACCCACCTGAACAACAGAAACTTCCTATCCCCAGATGAATTTGATGGTGTGTTAATTATATCTCCTTAAAGCTGGTTTCTACAATTTTCAATACGTTTACATTGGATGGATTTGAATACATATCATAAGCTTCGATACTTCCTTCACTCGGCAAATACTTACCGAATGCCCACTCTGGGGTAGACACGGTCCTGGGGAGACCAGTTACCCAGACAGATGCGGTCCCTTCTTTCATGGAGTTCGTACTTCTGCATGCCTGGCTAGCTATGTGAGCTAGTTGTAAGTGCCATGAAAAAAATAGCAAAATGGGACAGAGTAACTAGGGTGCAGAGCTGTTATCAGAAGGGTAGCAGAGAAAGCCTTTCTAGGAAGGTGATGCCTGAATAGAGTTCTGAATAAGGGAAGCTATAACACACACAGCTGGAAGGAAGCACACGTAGGGGAAAAACTAAAGCAAAGATCCTGAAACAGATGCAAGATCCTTTTGCTGAAGGGACAGCAAGGAAACCAGCACTCAAGAGTAAAATGAGTGAAGAAAAATGTGACCAGAGAGGAGGCAAGACACAGTCCTTTCCTGGGTAAGCTAGGAAGCTGCTGAATATTTGGGGGCAAAAAGTGATATGTTTTGACTTATATTTTAAGAAGAATCACTTGTTTAGTATAATGAAAAATGTCTGAAGTCAGTGGTGGTTACACAACATGGAGAAGACACTTCTGCCACTGAATTACCTATTTGAAATAACATATGACTCTAAAAACAAAAAAATCACTCCAGCAGAAGAGATGAGAGAAGGGCGGAGGTGGAAATCAGAAGCAACTGCCACAGTGCAGACAAAAGGCAATGCTGGCTTGGGCCAGGGCAGCAGCAGGAGGTCAGTGCAAGGCATGTTCTGCAAATATCTCAGAGGTACAGCTGGCAGGACTTGCTGATCACACAGGGAATATGAGAGTCCAAAGATTGGTCCAGTCAACTGCAAGAACGGAGTTGCCATTTACAGAAATGAGGAGGTACACGTTTCGGAGGTGGACATCAAGATTTCATGTTCATCTGTGTTGGCTTTGAGGTGCTGCTCAGACACCCAGGACGAGCTGATACAAAAACAGGTGCACGTGTGAGTCTGTTGTGGAGCGAAGTCTGGGCTAAGGACATCAGGATGCTATTTAAAGCCCTTGAGGAAAACAGTACATTTACCTGTCTTGGTCAGTCGGACGGGGATCTCCTGAGAATTGTGAGGATCAGAGTGTAGGCAATGGGTTCGAATCCTGAACTACATATCAAATGCTGCTGTGGGGACTGAGGCCATCAAGACCCAGGCTGTGCTGCAGAGATGGTCACAAGCTGTGCTCGTGATCCAGCGCTGCCTCAACCTCCCCAGACTGCCAAGACCGAGACACTCTCAAAGTTACAGTCACCCCAAGTCTTATGGCGGAAATAGGGATTCTCTTCGGTTAGGCCATTGATAGACCAATTTGGTAAATCCAGAGCAAGGTGCCCCCAGATCAGTACTTTAAGAAGACACTGAAAGACACTGACCAGGAATAACTAATATAGCCAAGTGCGTTCTTCTGTGGCAGCCCCTAGTCGTTTTTCCACTAAGGATGTCTGTGTAGTGACTCCCCCCCACACTGTGATTTTTTGTTGTTTCATTTAAGGTCACAGGAAATGAGAGGCTAGAACCCGCTGCAGCCTGTGTACAGGTCCATTTCCTGGCAGGTGCTTCCTTCTCTGTCACCATCTCCTCCTGCTTGGAACACCAAACTCTTGCTGTAGTATTGGACGCCAACTTCAGAGTCTAGGAATTTAAACCACCTATGGGAACGTGCAGGGGGGCCAGAGTGAGGACAAGGAGAAAAGTCCCCTCGCTCCATGCACTGTCAGCTCAACTCTCCTTATTTCTGTTTCAAAAAGTCCAGAGTCAGATTCATGCCACCCCGCTGTACTAGTCATCCTGGCCTGCCGGGCCCGTCACTGTGGTCCACAGCAGTGGTTGTGCTCCTCACCTGCTTTAAAACTGGGGAAGCTTATTAATTCCTGGGTAATTTTAATACGCAGCTACCGCTGAGAACTGCTGGCTTAAATCCCTCCTGCTCACTCCCCTTCTATTCATCAGTATCTTCTCCGTCTCAGCATCTGACATCCTTCCAGGGACCTCAGCATCCTTGCAGACAACCCACACAAGATCTTCCTCTCAGTCTGCTGACATTTTTACCTCGGGATCCTTGCTCTGCTGCATTTTAGCCATCCAGTTCCATGGTTACACCAAAACCCCGTTGGTAACAGTGAATCTATCAGCTCTAGAATATAGCATTCCACCAATCCCTTCATGAATTTGGTCCCCAACCCTGGCAATTCTCCTGCTTTCATGAGTAACAATCTGTGGGCCTTGCCTGTCCTCTCCTCTGAACAAGTTAAAGTTCCACAAGCTATCAGAATCACTCTTTTGCTAATATTTTCTCTTTTATTTCTTTTTCTTTTTTTTTTTTTGCCTTTTTGAGACAGGGTCTCGCTATTCATTTCAGGCTGCCTTGATCTCGTTTTGTAGCCCAGGCTGGCCTCAAACACACAATGATCCTCCTGCCTTAGCCTCCCCAGTGCTAGGATTACAGGCATGCACCATCACACCCAGCTTTTTGCTAATATTTTCAAGGGATGCTTTACCTTCTTGTTTTCAATGTAAATAATGTTAATCTGTTCTGACCCCTATGAATATGATCCAGAATTGAATCAAATTTTCCCCTGTCAGTGTAAATATGGTTAATCTGTTCTGAAGCACATGTACTTTTTAACCACAGAACTATGAAACAAAGTACAGTGTGGTACAGTGTGAAGATAATAGAACACTAACATTACTCAGCTTATTATTGCTGTGACATTCCTGTCACCTTCATTACTGCTCTGCGCTTTCTTTGGAGCCATGCTAGATTAAATAATACTGTACAGTGCTGTATGTGCTAAAAAGCACACACAAAAAAACTTCATAGCAGGTGTGCACAGGTCTGTCACTGCAGCTAGTGGAAGCCATGAGCATGTGTGAGAGCAGACGATGGCCCTGGTCATGTTCTTCACTGATGCAGAGATGGACAATGGAAGCACAATGCTGCCAAATGCTTCTGTTCACGAACCCATTTTGACCCATTTTGAATTTAGTTTAGTGCATGGTGATAGACATGGGTCACCCTGGGTTTCTTCATGACCAGGAGCCTTCATGAACTGAGGTACTAATTGTACATTAAGAACTCTTGGGGCTGGGGATTTAGCTCAGCAGCAAAGCGCCTGCCTGGCAAGCACAAGGTCGTGAGTTCAGTTCCTGGTACTGGAGAAAAACCAAAAAAAAAAAAGAACTCTTAATTCAGACACATGTCCTACCTTGACGAATAGAGGAAGAGCCAGAAAGACCCAGAGAACATCAACTAGAAACACAGGTAACCTAAGCAGAGGAAGGA